TAAAAAGGCTTCTGAATGAAAATCATTCTCACATTCACCTGCAGCAGATATTTGACCCACGGCAAATGTAATGCATGACTTTTTACAGATTTGTTTCATGCTTTCCTTTAAAATAAAGATGTAAGAAATGTGAGTGTTTACAGAAATCTAGATTCAGCACCAACACTACAGCCTGAATGGATAAAGCATCAATTTTTACTGTAACCTGTCAAATATGTACTACTGAGGTATATATATTTCTCTTCCTTTCTTTCTGTGCTAACAATTCAATCAACAGTGAGAAAAACTAGCAGGCTGTTTTCAGCCTAATCCCCCCTTTTCTGTCTCCAAATACATTCTCATAGAAAGCACCCGAATTTACTATCATTTCTAGCCTTTTGGTACCACTAATGGTACCAAAATACATTAAAAATAATGACTTTTCCCCTGTTAATTTTTGATGAGATTTCTAAGACTTAAAAATCCCCAGTAACCTTGTTTTGGCATGTATGCATTGCAGGTTTCCAGTAACCAAATGCTTTCTGACTGAGATTTCCTAGGACAGAGGATGCTCATTCTGTACAGCACATTTCCGTATTTTGTTTATCCACCCCTAAAAGAAAAATATATTTTGATTACATAGCATTTGAGCCAATGTCTGCTGGTTCAGAGGGCACTGACAGCCTTATCTCTCAGAATTTGCTTTTTTCTCAAAGGGTCTAGGTCAGCATTGGACTTTTGATGCTGTATTTATAGACCGGGTGTACACATGTATTTATAGACGGGGAAGGACTACATAGGTTCATATTAAAGGCAATTACACCTTTAATTTCTCATGTGCAGATCATATGTACAGCTGGGACACTTAAGTGATAAATTAAAGCATCTTCAATAAATGAACATGAAGTTAGGAAAAAAAGATAAATGTAAATTTTTTAAATGTGTGACTGTGTCTGGGCTATATTCTAATTTCCATTCCTGAAAGCAAAATTTTAATTTATATGACAATCTAAAACACACCCAGTAGAAGATTTTCAGGGATCTTATTACTTAATTCTGACTATCTATTGCATCCTAGCTGCCAAGATATGCATGTATACACTGAACACTACATAAATGTTACACTGGCTCTGATGCATTCCAAATTAATAAATAACCAATGGGAAGTAATTTTCATTAATTATGTATTATGAAATAAACAGATCTTTAAAAATTTAGACAGAGCCAGTAAATAAAGCTGCTGTTATAAAACCATAAATATGCGTGGCCTATGATTAATCTTGCAGCCGAGTGCAAAAATTGACCACTCAACATGCATCTTAAAATGAACCAGAAAAAGAAAGAAAGAAAAATTCTGTGTTTTGGGTAGCCTTTTCCCTCCTCTGTGCTAGAAATACTACAAATACAAAGTGGATTTTTACTTTGATATTTGATGTCTAAACTGCATTTTACTTTTCTTTCTCTCTTTCTCATTGTCTGTATAAGACATATTTAAAAAAAAATTCTATGAGAAAATATACAACATTTTCTTAAACTGAGAAGTGACATTGCAATCCTGTCTTTTTAAATCCAGATGTTGCCTTACATGTAATACTCTCTGCTGTTCTAAAGACCCAGCAGACACCAGAGTCAGAAGTTCAGTTATAATAACATTTTGTATTTTTAATCATTTTCTCCTATTTTCACTTTTACTTTGTGAGCTGCAGAATTGTTTTTGTGACTTGCTTGTATTGCACAGACAACAGCATTCAACAGCTCTTTAACACCTGCAGCTTTACCAAGCTGAATTAAGAGATATCAGGCAATGTCTGTGACGTGATGTCTAGTCCATTAATACACATGCTTCTACGAGCCCTAATTACTTCTGATCGGAAACATATTATTTTTTATTGCCCACACTGCCAGCAGTGCAACGCTGTGGGAGGGGGTGCCTGCAGCAGCTCAGCTCCCTGCAGTGTGAGAGGGGGGAAGCTCTACCTGTCCCCGGCTTTACCCTGCATATCAAGGGTTCACAGTAAAACAGTCCTGACACTGACCTCACAGAGACCCAGCAGCTGGAACAGCCTTAACAATGCATTAACACAGCTATGTGCCCCCTAAACTATTACCAGCAGCAGGTAAGAGTGAGAGAGGAAGGGAGAAGGAAAAGGAGAGAATGGATAAGAGGAGGAATAATTTGAAAAGGGGATGATTATCAGCTAGGGTGGTATTGGCATAGTCTTTTAACCTCATTTCAGAATTTACCTTGTAGTTGCGCAGCAATATGTCCTGAGCTAAGGGTCAGTTTATATCTTGCCATGCTTGAACTGGTTTCTCTGTTGAGTCCCACCGAACCACACCATATTGCTTCAGCAACAAACATAATCGAAACAACTTCAGGGAAAGTAGAGTTTGTTTGCCTTAATTGTATGTGGCTAGCAGCTTACTGAGCAAAGAGAGAGAGCAGCAACTGGAAATATACCATCCCCTGTAGAGTCTCATAGCATTTTATGATCCAGTACATCAAATACTATGCTTCCAGTACAATCCAGATTTACAGGCAGTCTACCTGCAATATATTAATTAAGACAGGCTTACTTCATTGGTGATTTTTTTGGGACTTTGGGCAACAGCGCTGCACTAATAGGAAGCAGTTTAAAATATGGAACCTCAATGTAATTTTTAATCCAGCTGAGCACGTGTACTATTTGCCATGGTTGTTGCTACATTGCCCAAAACCACAGTTCAGTGGTAGACTGCCTGTCACAGCTGTATCACTGAACTCCAAGAACAACCCACCCAGAAGCTCCAGCTGCTTGAATAGTGACACAAGATGTTACCAGGATTCCAAAAGTTATTATTTCAGTGGTTTATAAAAGTTGACATTTAAATGGTTTATAAAAATATCAAGAGCTACTGCAATAAACATCAAGAGAAAGAGTGCTGGATGGAGAAAAAACCTTGGGTTTCAGGTCAGAAGTTTGACACTATTTTGGCCTGAGAGGGCATTTTATTTGCTACTGCAGTTTGTACCCTGATACAGCTGATTCTAGTTTCTGGCTGGTCCAGTATCTCCACTATAACAAAGGCTCTTCTGACCCACTCTGGCAATGCCAAAAACACTCCTCTTTTGAAATAAAAAAATTTACATGAATAACAAGTAGCTGAATAGCTGCAGTGCTTTTTATCAAGAGGTATGGCACCCATTAAGTCTTCAAACAGGACGGGAATGGAGCTCTATCATTATGTGTTGCAACTCACTCATTCACTCTAAGAGCACAGCTGAATTATTTGTATACATTATCTTTCAGTGTCTGAGCGTTTGTCTGGAGGTTAGGCAAAACCCATGCATTGTGCTAGAGGCTAATCAGCAATCCCAATTTATAAACGAGAAATAGCTAAAATTAAAATTTCATTTAAGAGTCCATAGTCATAAAATATGAACAATATTTATTATCAAGAAATAGAAATTATTATGACCAAATAGTATGCAAAGTTATAAATAAGCAAATATTAGCGGTACTGTAACAATTATAGCCTAAATAGAATATAGCATAGGTTGTAGGGGAATTTGAGGAAATTATTTGCTGCAGTTAAAAACAATGTGCAATTTTTAAGGCTTGAATCAGATGTGATAAGAAACAGTAAAATCTCTATCAGTTGTGAAAAGAATCAGTAATATCCTTGCTAGATAGATGTTAAAAATAATTTTTATTAATTTAGACTAGCATTTATAACAATGGTTAATCAGCTTGAAAGAAAATTATTTCATCTACCCAGCACAAAAAGATGTTAGCAAGGGAAAAGTTCTTTGTATATGTAAGAGTCTGTAAAGTCAAGGTATTATTTACTCACATAGTTAATTTCCATTTGAGTTTGACATTTCATGCTTCAAAGCTTAGGTCTTTTGAAGATATTTTACATGTCTTAAATGAGGCTCAGGATTCAGCAGTCAGTTCTGGATAAGTGGTAGGAAGCATTTTAAATAAGTATTTTTCCACTTATAACTGAGTGTGTCTTTGCTTATCACCTATCTGTGTTTCATATGTTCTCTCTAATGTCTACAGATTTTTCAGTTTCAACCACTTAAAGTGGATTAAATATTTGTGCATACGTGATGTATGTTCCTATATAGCGTCCATGGTTATCGATTAAGAATAATTACGTTTTTAAGAGAAAAATGGAATTTACTTATAAAGCAAGCTAATAAGCCAGGAAGACTGAATTCACAGTCTGGGTTGTAAGACATTATTTTACTAGAAACCACAACTCTGCAGACAAAGTCAAATCTGACTGCAGTGGCAGAAATGATGGCCAGGAAGTGGTCTGTCATTGTTTGTCCTTTACCCCTAGTCCCTGAACTGACAAGAAAAATTAAAGAGTCAAAAATTGTGTTTTTTCAGAAATATATAGTAAGGATGAAGAGAATTCAGCTGATTGGGATAGAAGAAGAAAAGAACAAAACAGATAAGGAAAAAGTAATGAGAAAAGATGACATTCAAAGGGAACATATAACAGGAACAGCACAGGAAAGGAAAAGCAAAGTGGGAGGAAGAGAAAGGGCGTTAGTAGTTGGAAGAACTATGCAGAAAAGGTGGGCAGAGGAAAATGTTTAAAATAACAGAGTGAAGAGGAGCATGACAGTAAAGAGAATATGACTGAAAGAAACCAAAGTGTAAAGGTCATATGTAGAAACAAAACATATGGGGGGGGGGAGGTGGAAGCAGAGTTAGGAAGAAAGTGAAGAGGATTTTTTACAAAAACACTGCACATTTGCATAAACAATGAATGAAAGTGAGTTTTGATGATGGGATGTATACTGAGGAAAGGTATGTGAAGGCATAGGAAGTGAAAGGAAGAGAATATACATAAAAATATGAAACAAGTAAATAGCCTCAGATCAGCTTGTTTTACTTTTTTGGGGGGAAAAAAAGTCTACTAAATTTAAAAATTAGCAAAGCCCCAGTTCTTCTATTTGACTGTATTAAACACAATAGTAAATAATCACACGAGCATCCCATAATCTGTAGTTTTGACTTTACCTGAGCAAGCTCTGTAAAAGGCTTCGGGACCTAAAAACCCAGTATCTTACAATTGCAATCGCAAAGATTCTTTCTACAGCGAGGTTGGTTTTGTTGCATTTTCCACGTCCTGGAATTCATCAGTTCCAAGGGAGAAAGGCACACTGCACCTCCCCGTCACTCGCAGGCAGCGCCAGCATCTCAGCGCTC